TCTGTTTTAGAGATGTCAATCTAATGAATAGACAATTTGAGGAATAATTCAGATAGATAAAAACTTTGAGATTTAATTTTTTAATTCAATTTATTTAATTTTATTTTTTAATTATCAAATTTTTAACCACTTTTACTTATTTATTATTAATCTGGGGCCTCAATAAATGAAAACATTTGCTCTTGTATATATTAAAAGAGTGAAAAAAAGAAAAAAGAAAGAGTAGTTAGGAGTCAAAAGCTTAGGATGAAACCAGAGGAGTAAATACCCCAGCCCCACCAGAGTTCAAAAGAAAGGGGCAACATAAGCCCTTTGCCAACAAATCTTATCTTTCTCAGCTTCTTTTTCACCCCAGTTGTTATAAAAAAAAGAGGTAACTAAAAGCCTTTCCTGATTAACTCAAGGCACAAAGATATTTTGCTTCTTCCAAAAGAACTTCTGGCAATATCTCCTAGAAGCACACTCTATAAACAATGATATAATTCACCTTAGTTATCATGCTTGCCATTGTCTCAGCCACCATTGTTTTAGTTCTGATGGCCAATGAAGTAAGGGCAAAGGAAAGCAAACAGGAAAAAAAAAAAATTCATAACTGTTATTTGTTCATTATCTAAACTCAAACTTTCCAAAACGGCACTAATGGAAAATTTTCCTACTTGTTAGAAGGTTTTTCCTACACAGTGCTAAGATCTCCATCATTTTTAGTGCCCCTGGCTCCTTTCCATATTCTGCTCTTGCTCTTGAAATAAGTCTCACATAGCCAGATAAGTATGCTAAAGGCTGTTAGAAAGAGTTAATAATGCTAGAAAATGCTGACAATCTCTCAAGGCAAAAAAAAGGGAGAAACAAATTGAAAGTCCTGAAATTCTTTTGAATAACTTCTGCCAACTGATTTAAATTTTTTTAAATTTATCAAATGTTAAAAAAAATAGGCTATAACCAACTGTTCACCATTTTCAGTTATAAAGCTTATTTATCACTTAGCAGAAGAAAAAGTAGATAAAATCAAGTTTCTTCTTAAATGTATAAATTTATCAAATATTAAAAAGCTAAATGGATAGGTATGTCCAACAGAGATATATATTAAAAACAACTTACCCCAGTCTTCATCACTTATTCTACCAAAGGAACGATCCCTCAGAATTCTAAAAATTGATATTTTATCAGTTAAAGAGGGAGTATACACTTAAAAAAAAAAAAAAACTTTGAACGCACATTACTTCACTAAAAATAAAAACAGAAATACTCACCCGGCATTGTTGACCACAACATCTACAATATAAAAAGACCCAAGTCACAAATATGAAAGCAAGCATATTAATTTGCATTTGCTTACAACTCATATTTCTTTCGAAAATTTTTTTTCCCATGGGAAAGTATACATATAATTGTTAAAGAGTGTTATCAGAACAAAATTTTATACCTATAGCAAAAAAAAAAAAGATCTGATTCACAAAACCACAGCGAGTATCAATCACATCATATCAGTGCTCTACTCTTAAACTTACATATCTATGATTTTTCACTTCTATCTTTTGCTGAAATTCTAGCAACTTTTTTATAGAATTAGCTTTTGCATAATTCTTAGGTTCTTAGGATTCAGTGGTAACCACAGCCATTCCTCATTTAACCTCAAAATTCACTCAGAAAGTTAAAAACTTAAATCTGTTTTTGCCAAAGTCAAAAGCCCAGAAAGGAAACCATTAGCGTTAAAAACTGATATCCTATCTTAACACAGAATTGTATTCTCACTAAGAAAAGAAAAAAAATAATTTCTAAGGTTCAACCACCACCTTGTAGCTATTTTCACCCTATTATTTCACACCTTTGTGCTCCCTAGACCTCTGTCAGAAAATGAGCAAAAATGTCTCTAAAGAGCTCAACCAAACATAACTAGAAAAATAAATGTGCTAGACAAAAAAAAAGGGGGGGAAGCACATTTAAATTACAAAATTAATGTTTTTCAGATTATAAATATATTGGGAATATCTGGAATAATGTTTCTCACTAGAATTCAACAACCTTTTAATAAAAATGTGTGGGACTAAACCAGAAACCTTATCCAGAGAAGAATGGACTAAACAGTATATTGAAACTCTTCTTAAAAATGAAGATTTTTATTATACAGTTGACTCTTTAACAACACAGGTTTGAACTGCACAAGTCCACTTACAGTTTTATTTTTTCCAATAAAAATGTTGGAACATTTTTTGGAAATGTGCAACACTGTGAAAAAAACTCACATACCATATACCCTAGAAACATTGAAAAATTTAAGAAAAAGTTAGCTATGTCAAGAATGCATAAAATATATGCAGATAATTGTCTATTTTATCATTTATTACCATAAAATATAAATTACCAAACAGTTAAAATTTATCAAGTTATACACACAAATATAGACCATATGTGGCACCATTTAGTTGAGAGAAATGTAAACAAACATAAAGATGCAGTATTAAATCATAACTGCATAAAATTAACTATACTATATACTGTACTACTATAATAATTTCGCAGCCACTTCCTGTTGCTACTGCGTGAGCTCAAGTATTACAAGTATCCGCTTACAATATCATGTGATGCTTGCTAATTGCTCCGTATGAGACGTTCCTCTCTCCAGTAAATTGTGTATGGCAGTAAAAAGTGATCTCTCACGGTTCTCTCATATTTTTCATTTTTTTAGTGCAACACAGTAAACCTGAATAACACCATGGGACCCATCCGGAGAGCTACTAGTGATGTTGGAAATGCTCCCAAGCAGCAGAGAAAAGTCATGACATAAGAAAAAGTTGAAATGTTTGATAAGCATCATAGATTAAGGGCTGCCAACTACAGTTGCCTACATTCCAAGATAAATGAATCCAGTGTAAGGACCACTGGGAAAAAAAAAAAAAAAAGAAATCTGTGAAGCCGTCATTGCAGCTAAGCCAGCAGGCACATAAACTTGGCACTTTTTGCAAAACAACCTTTTTATCTCATTTTGAAAATGCAGCTTTTATGTGAGTGCAGAATTGCTGTTAAAAAAAAAAAAAAGACATGGCTATAGACTCTAACATGATCCAAGAAAAAGCAAAGTCATTATATGACAAATTAAAACAAAAGGAAGATGAAAGATCTGAAGCTGAAGAATTTCATGTCAGCAAAAGATGATCTGATAATTTTAGAAAGAGGTCTGGCTTTAAAAAAATGTCAAAATAACAGGAAAACATGGAGCAGCAGATGAGTTCCCAGACACCATTAAGAAAATTATGCAGGAGAAAGGCTATCTGCCTGAACAGGTTTTTAATACAAATAGGTTTTTAATACAAATAGAAGTGTCCTATTCTGGCGGAGCCACAAAAGACTCTATTAGTAAGGAAGAAAAATTAGCACCAGAGTTCAAAGCAGGAAGAAATAAGCTAACTCCACTATGCGTATGCAGTTGGGGTTTTTTGATCAGGCCTGCTCTTACCTATAAAGCTAACTTGCCGCGGTCCAGCCGAGACAGGATCCAGGGGGCCCCGAAGGTGGGCAAGGCGTCGGCGCGGGAGACAGTCGACTACACAGCTCAGAGGCGGTGTGACACTGTTCCGTTTTATTGTGATTTGAGTACAACTTTTATACTTTTTATTTTGGCATTTGATTATACTTTGTTGTTAAGGTAGCAGGGAGTTAAATTTCTGTGGTTAGGCGAAGCAGAAAAAATCTTATAGAGTATATTATTATTAATATTCATGATTAACTAGTACATTTTTCTCTCAATCATTAGAACAGAACTACCTGATGGAACAATCTAAACTTTAATTCTTATATCTATTACGTAAGATACAGTTTGATTTAAGTAAAGGTGATAGATAGATGTATTCATAACAGCAAGCATTGGCTTGTGGGCAGACATTGTTCTTCTTTCTGCCTGAAGAAATCTTTTAAATGCTATTTGATTTATGCTATATCTAAAGTTCAAGCTGAACCTTTCTCATAGCTGTTCAAAAGTTTCCTTGGTGCAGTAATGAGGAAAATATTTATAAAAATCAGTTTTACAAAGCTGCTTTCATAAGCTAAGTTTCTGTTCCTTTGTTTTTAAGCACCAAGGAGATCCTGACCTAGCCAGCCTTTCTATGAAACTTAAACTACTATAAGGCACATGAATTCTATCTTTATTCACTACATGTATACTATCTTTATTATAAGCTTCTGTATAAGGCAAAGGAAGATCAGGTAATCTTTTCATACTATTAGCCCCACTAGGTGGATACCAGAGTTTTCTATTTATCCACTAAGCCACAAAAGGAGGCCCTTCTATAGTAGGCACAGGCTTATGAGTAAATTTCTTATCCTTTACTAATTTTTCTACTAACTGCATGGGAACAGGAGTATAAACTGGTTCTAGTAATTCAGCTTGTTATAATTTATTCATAATATCTTTAAGAGGCACGTCAAAAGGAATTTCCCTTAATAATTGTTCAAATAAAGGGTTTACGCATTCTGGACACGTCAGGGTGACCAGAGCTGATTCCATACGCAGGGAATTTACTATGTTTTCCTCAGAGCCAATTTTGAGGAAATCCATTTGTATAGCGTTTACACTTACTAGAATTTGTGCTACCCAAATTCCCCCTATTAATAGGATCATTTCTAAGAAACCAATTATCCCTAAACACATGCCACGTCCTCGTTCTTGACGATGCATTCCTTGAAGCCTCTGTCCCCATCTCCGGACCTTGTCACGCAGTAGGGTAGAAAGAGGACGCGGCACTAACTCTCAAACCTTAAAGGGAAAAAATACACACCAGCTGGCAGTCTTTTGGTACAAGGTGTGGACAGTGGGAACCCTTTTTCTGGATTGGTTTCATCAACTCTTTTGTCTCTGAAGTTAGAAGGTACTGACTGTGCCAGTAAGGAACTGCCTTTTAAAGTTCTTTGGATATTAGACTATGCCCCTGACCACCCAGAATCCCATGAGTTCAACTCGGAAGGCTGCCAAAAGATGTTTTTAATTCAGTCTTAATGTATAAGGCTCACTACACACAGTACTCTATGGAGAAGATTGTCAACACTATGGAAGAAAACCCTGACAGAAATCATGAAAGTCTGGAAGGATTACTCAATTGAAGACGTCACTGTTGTTACAGAAAAGGCTATTAAAGCCATCAAGCCCAAAACAATATATCCCTGCTGGAGAAAGCTGTATTCAGATGTCGTGCATGACTTCACAGGATTTACAACAGAGCCAATCAAGGAAATCATGAAAGAGACTGTAAATATGCCAAAAAAGGTGTGGGGAAAAGCGTTTCAAGATATGGCTCTTGGAAAAATTCAAGAGCTAATAGATACCACACCAGAGGAATTAACAAAAGACGACTTCATGGATAGGAGTGTCTCCTGGAACTAGTGCCTGACAATGAGGAAGAAGATGTAGAAGAAGTAGTGCCAGAAAACAAACCGACATTAGACAATCTGGCAGAAAGATTCGAATTATTCAAGACTGCTTTTGACTTCTTTTATGACATAGACATTTCAATGATACGGGCACTGAAACTAAGGCAAACGGTGGAAGGATGGTACCGTATAGAAACATTTTTAGAGAAATGAAAATGCAAAAAGGTCAAACAGAAATGATGATGTATTTCCACAAAGTTACACTGAACTCTCCTGCCCCTCCTTCCACCTCTTCCGCCTCAGCCACCCAAGACAGCAAGACCAACCCCTCTTCTTCCTCCTACTCCTCAGCCTACTCAACATGAAGATGAGGATGGAGACTTCTGTGATGAACTACTTAATGAATAGCAAATAATTATCAATGCCATAGTTAATAAATTTATCTGCTGTGTATGTGAGTGTCTTCGTGTGAAAATAACTGTATGGCAAAAACTGTATGAGACATTTGTGTCATCATCATCACCTAAGTATTCACCATGTAGAACACTGTGCAACAACACTTGTACAGAAGTAAATAACCTATCCTTACACAGGCATAAGGTGACTGATATTTAACATAAAATTAATAATGTTAGTTTTCTTACTGTTTCATTACTTTGTTTTCAAAGAATTACATTACCATACAGTATGCCTCTCTCCTATAATTAGAGAAATTACATATCCACCAATCACCACAGGTAAGGGTTTTTTTTTTTAATGTAACATTTCCAATACTGTATTATGAATATGACACTAATGCTGAATGCCAAAAAATTTTATAACCACTCATTAGTGTATAGGCTAGGCTACCATGAAGTAGTCATATCGATTACACTAGGCTACCATAAAACAATATTGCTACTTCTTCATTATCAAAGCATGAATTGTTACACATGTAAATATGAATTTCTTTTTCACATTATCTTTTCATTTTTGATGTCTAGAGTTCAAAATACATATAACATTTAAAGTTTTGTATCATATAAGACAATACTGAAGTAGGTACTGACAAACAATTCATCTTATAAACCAATTACACAAACTTACAATATCAATAAATATAATACAGTACTGTAAATGTATTCCCTCTCCCTGAGTTTAATAATATTTGCTCTTCTCTAGCTTTATTATAAAAATACAGTATATAATACATATAACACACAAAATATGTGTTAAACGACCATATGTTTTCAGGAAGGCTTCTGGTCAATGGTGAGCTATTAGCAGTTAAGTTTTGGGGGAGTCAAAAGTTACACATGGATTTTCAACTGTGCAGGGGTTCGGTAACTCAAACCTCCTCATTGTTCAAGGGTCAACTGTACATAATTCATCTTAATTAATTTGCAATATATTAAATTATTTTAATCCAAATCATTTTAATTACCTAAGATTCCACTGGGTCCTCTAATGCCAAAATATTAATTTTTTATTTTATAAACATATTTGGGGTATAATTATTATAAAAAGAGAACTTAGAGGATGCTTACAAGTTTTTTAAGAGCTCTTAAAGTGCAAAAAAATGTAAAACAAACAACACATATATAAATAAAAATTGTTAACTCAAGCCCTTTGTGGAATAAGGTAGTAATCAATTTGGAAAACAAATCTAAAAACTTGATTATCAAGAAAGAGGGAGTTTTAATAAACAAAAGTAAAATCAAAAGTATTTTATTAGGAAGGTAGTAGCTGCTCTATTAGAATCATAAATGCAAAGAAACATCACCTATTCTTCCAAAAGCATCCAGGGCAGTCTTCACAATCTTCTCTCCTTCTTCCACTGAATCTGAGGGAAAGGGAAATTAGTACAAAACTTCAGTAATACCTCTCACAAATGATTTCTAAATTATGTGGATCAAAGCACATAATAGATACTATTCACTCAACAGAACTCATTTCCAAGAAAAATACATTTGTGCTGCAGGCACATAACAAAGCAAAATATAGATGATCTAATGTTACAAAAGAAATTTAGCACCTAAGATAATTCCTTAACTTACAGAAGCAAGGAGGTGGAAGGAGGTGGAAGGAAATGGGGTAAATAAGAAACATTGGGCAAATACGATCTAAAATGTAGCACTGTCCAATATCACGTTTTATGAAGATGGAAATTTCCTATTTCTGCACTAATACTGTAGCCACTAAACACACGTGACTATTAAGTTCTTGAAATGTGGCTAGTATGACAAACTGAATATTTAATCTTATTTAATATATATTTCATTTTAAATAATCATGCAGGTACTTCTCCTTAAGGATGGAAATCAGAATTTGGGAGGGAAAGAAGGACGTACATGTTTAATTTGAAAAAGCATGTTCAATGCTATATAACTACACAAGGAAAATAAACCTAGCGTTTTTAAAATACTAACTACAAAAAGTAAAGCTGAACAAAATAGCATGGCTTTATTATTTTCTGCTAATAGGCCCAGGGGAAGGGCTCATATTCGCAGAGTTATGTGTCAAATGGTCAGCTGTCAAGTCAACATCATCACTGCCTCTTTCTATATTCTCTGCAAGCACAAGAGAGGAGCCAGGAAACATAGTCCCTTCCCTAGGACTCATATAATCCTGAGGTAGATATGCCAAAAAGAAGCAATCACCTAAAGCATGAAAAAGTAGAGGCCTGCATCTGCAGGCAATCTTATGAGAAAACTAAGCCTGGCCGCACATCTAGGTGACTTCTTGAGAACCACCTGCTGCAGACTGAGATGGTCACTGAAAACTTCCCTGACATGCACTTACCCAGCCTTTCCAATGGTTATGCAAAGCCTCTAATTCTCTGTATTAAAATCCTTCACACTTGGAAAACCTGGAGAGGCTTCTGTTTCCCTGACTAAATTCTGATTGATACAGGTTGCATATCAAAACAGGATGGGGTGGAGAGTCTAAATTTTTTGTAATTTTATAAAATAGGTTTTTAAAACTCAAAAATTAAAAATTAAAAGCTGAAAACATTTTTTTCTAGATCCTCAGTGTGGAAAGAAGATACTAAAATGTCTTGTCTCATTATTCCCTACAATACTCAAAACAAATTATATCCTATTTCCTTTTCTCTAAAATTTCAAAATGAAGTCATTGGTAAGTCATTATGGCCCACAAAAACAATCTAATACACTAGTTTTCTAAAATAAATCTATTCAAGAAGGTTCCTTACAAATACTATTAGAATCAATACATCAAATGTAAAGGTTGTTGTAATTGCTGTTTTTCTTGTGGCTTCACTTTAATGCCTAACTTTGACTCTTTTTATAAAGATAAGAAAGTTACATATAGCAATTATTACTTGTGCAGAATGGAATATAGAGGTTGAATATAGAAAGGGGTTTTTCACTTTTTATACAATATTACTTAAATTTTTTGAAACAATTTTAAAAATAATTTAATGTTATTCTGTAGAAATACTTAAGACCTTTTAGCTAAAAAAAGGTCTTTTAAGAACAAGAACATATTCATATACACATCTACAATAATTTACTGATCATACCATGTGCTCATTAATATAAATATTAAATAAACATTAGGATAAAAGTTAGACTCATGAAATAATCAACATCAAAAGTTTAAAAATTCTCCTATAAAATATGTAGCCAAACAGCTTTGGCTGACTTAAATAAAATCTAATTTCATAATTACACTGGAATGCTGAGATACTTGCTCCATGATTATTAATGTAAACAACAGCATTAGTTGAAGGAAAATTTAAAAAATAGTATAGTTCTCTCAAATATCATACCATAGTTGGCCACTGCTTTTCCACCTTTGTTTGTTATTTCTTCAACAACCTTATCAGCAGCTAAGGAGCATTTACCAACTCCTCTGTAGTCCCCTCCTAAATCATTCACTGCAATGCAAAAACAAACGTGAATTAATTTCTAGACCTTCAACGTATGAGTTTAAATGAAATAGATTAGTATATTTCTTTAGTCATATGCCCGATTCCCTCTTACCCTATTCCCATCTTATTAAACATACCATGAGATATGCCTCTGTTTTTAACTATAGATATGAACAACAAAATATTTAAACATAGGTTTGTCATAAAATTTTTAACTTTGCAATGTGTTTCCTTTTTTGAAAAGAAAAAAAAACCATGATTCAACCGATTTTGGGCAAAAAAGGAAGAAAAAATCTGAAGATTATTCTTAAGATTAAACATTAAAAAAACAGTATGGAAGTGTCTCAAAAAATTAAAAATAGAATTGCCATATTATTCAGCAATCCCACCTCTGAGTATTTATTCAGAAAAATAGAAATCAGGATCTCAAAGAAATAGCAGCACCCCAATCAATGTTCACTGAAGCATATTCACAACAGGCAAGATGTAAAACAACCTAGATATACATTGACAGATGACTATATAAAGAAAATGCAGTACATCTATACAATGAAATATTATTCAGCCTTAAAAAGGAAATCCTGCAATATGCAACAACATGGGTAAATCTGGAAGACATTATGATAAGTGAAATAACTCAGTCACAGAAGGCCAAATACTGCATGATTCCATTTACATGAAAGTGTCTAAAAGAGCCAAACTCACAGAATGAGGGAGTAGAATGGTGGTTGCCAGAGACTCAGAGAGGAGGAAACCGGGAGTCGCTAATATATGGGCAAAGTGTCAACAATGCAAGATGAACAAGTTCTACAGGTCTGTGTACAACAAAGTGCCTGTAGTTAATAATTCTGCATTGTACATTAGTCCTCCCTTATCTGTGAAGAATACTCTCCAAGACCCCCAGTGGATGCCTGAAAAACACAGATATCACAGAACCCTGTATATAGTTGACCCCTGGAACAACAGGAGTATGAACTATGCAGTTCCACTTATACATTGACTTTTTTCAGTTAGTACTGTTAAATGTATTTTCTCTTCCTCACGTTTCTTAATAACATTTGCCCTCTATCTTACTTTATTGTAAGAATGTATATATACATATACAAAATATGTGTTAATCAACTGTTTATGTTATCGGTAAGGCTTCTAGTTAGTAGCAGGCTTTATTATTTAAGTTTTTGAGTCAAAAGTTATATGTGGATTTTCAACTTTACAGAGGGTTTGTGCCCTAACCCCCACACTGTTCAAAGGTCAACTGTACATAGATACCTATATTTTTTCCTATATGTACATACCTTTTCACTTAAAGGAAGTAATTTATGGCTTCGATTTGGCATATTCAAATTGCCAGTGTTTCTATTCTTCTGCTTCGGGGCCTTTGTTAAGTAAAATAAGGGTTACTTGAACACAAACACTGTGATACCCCAACAGTTGATCTGATAACCTAGAGGGCTAATACATCACTAAAGGGTAGGTAGTGTACACAGTGTGGATATGCTGGACAAAGGGATGACTCACATTCAGAGAGGGACTAAGCAGGACAGTGCAAGATTTCATCATGCATTGTTTATTTTTAAAATTTTCCACTTAATATTTTCAGACTGTGGTTGATCACATGTAACTGAAACCATAGAAAGTAAAACCATGGATGAGGGGGGACTACTGTACACTTAAACATTTGTTAAGAGGGTAGATCTCATATTGTGTTCTCACTGCAATTAAACAACAAAAATAAATTAAACACACAATGTGAAATATTTTCACCATGTCGAGAAAGCCTGTGTTTACAAGCATAGTGATAAAAAATAAGTATAATATTAAACTATTACACAGAAAAACATTTGTAAATTTTCACAAAACACTATGTCATGGCTTACAATGAAATAAAAAACTATTAAAAGAGGCCAAATATTACATATAGAACTAATTTGTTCAGTCGCTAATTTATACCATGACTGTTTTTATATATTTAACAACTGACCACATGTACCATATAAGATCTCTCTATGTCTAATTATATAGACACAAACACTAATTGAGCATTTACTATTTGTAAGGAAATCTACAGAGAAACACACGGATGGACAGGAATGGTGCATCTTAAAGAGCTGATAATCTACTGAAAGTTAAGTATGTGAGGAATACAGAAATGCACAGTAAATTTTAGTATAAAGTATATAAAAGTCACCATAACTAAATAATAGGGACAAATAATAAAGTTAATTCACACAATAATTTAAGGTAAAATTGATAAAATAACATGCAAAAACTAGTGAAAAGATATATAGATCAAGGCCAAATAACTTGAAAAAACAGAATTTAAGAAAAATACTTGGAACAAAAAATTAATTTGCATTGCATAATTTATTGCATAATTTTTAGAAATATGACAAAAAATACTAAAAAACAAATAGTATGGTGGCATATATAAAATTTAAAGTCTTTTAACATTACCAAGTTGATGATTACCACACCCAAAAAACTATATAAATATTTTTTTTTTCTTCTGAAGAATGACTCTCTTTTTGCTGGATTGGGATGAGGTTTGCAAGTGGGGCTGGGAGAAAAAGGAGATAAAGGGTGATACAGAGAAAAAGCAATGTGTAGCCATACTTAAAATTAGCTAAGTCAATATGTTTTTACTTACCTTTTTTTTTTTTTTAAGGAAATAAGGTTTTCTAAACATGGACTGGGATATAATTTTTCTAACAATATAGTCTTACAAGTCTTACTGCAAGTAAAAAATGCTCCAAACACAAAATTATGGAAAGAGGCTTACATTATCCCTCAAGAGATGAAAAAAGTGGTAAGACCCAAGACTAAATTCCTGTTAGCTGTTTAATTCCACGCAATTATTCAACTGACAACAACCAACCAGTAGAAAATATCAAGATTCTAAGACATGTAGCTAATAGTCTTTTAAGACCACTTTTAACTAAACAAGAGAAAATTCAAAAGCAAATTGGCAAATCTGATATTTAACTATTGTTCGACTGCGCAATGAAACACCACCCCCAAGTGGAAATTGTTCAAAGTACAACCAAACAAGTAAGCATTAACACCTGGATAACTTATTGAGATCAGTAACGTGCAGTGAAACAGTATCAGAATAGATGTATTCAAAACACGTCTCTCTACATTAATGAGCATTAAATTAATACTGACTCCATTCAGTCATCTCACTATCACCAGAGCTAAATTATAGGGATTACAACCTTAACTAGAAAAGCACTGGTTATTGGATATCAACAATGTTAAAAGATTTTCAGCAATTTTATATAAAGAGGAATGTATCAATATTATGTGACACTGTTACCACTTAAATGTATGGTTAAAATAATAATAATAATAATAATAATAATAAATTTTTTAATACCATCACCACCTTATACTGGTATGTGTCTACTTTGCATTTTCAAAGGACCATTATGTACACCTGTTGATTTTGATCTCCATAAAGCTTTTAAGGAGCTTGCCACAAACAGTTGTTCCTACTTTCAGGGATGAGGTAACAGTTGGGGAAAGGTTAGGTAACTTGCCCGCCCTAGGCTCCAAGGCTGTGTGAAATGGCAAAATCCAGACTAGAATCTCGATCTACTACAATGCCACGCTGCTTCTCTAATGCTAAAAACAAGCTCCTTTTATCCTTAAAAAAAAAAAAAATTATTCCCACTAAATAATAACAAGGAAATCGCATTTGTTTAGGGGGAGGGGGGTAAAGGAAATGATAAATCAGCCACCCCAAACAAATAGCTATAAAATAGGTAGTAAAAATGGTTAAGATGATGACAGTTAAGGACTGAGTCTTTTTGGCTGAAACCATCAATATCTCTCAAAATGTGATATATTTGTAAATCCTCCATTTATATTTTTTATTGTTTTGCCTGTTTAAATCACATTTTATTTGAGGTATTTGTCTTTATTAAAGATTTTAATTTGTCATATCTGTTGCAAATCATAAATTCCTTTATGGAAATGTTGAGACATAGAGGTAATATCTGGGCATTAATATTACTTAATGAGTATTACATACATTATTTTGCAGTGTTTTGTTATATAAATCAGATTGAGATATCTGGTTTTGTCTTTAGTAATCTTATTTGCTGTACATCATTCATTGCTCTCAGAGCTGGTTTTCTTGTTTTCTCTCTGTCCTTCATCCCAGCTTTCTCTTACTGGCTCCAAAGACTACAGCAAGAAACATGCTTTGAGTCTCCAGATATCAGGGCTGCTAAACAGAAGAAAAAATGCAAATGAACCTGATCATCATCTTCCTCAAACTGTCTCAACTCAGCATCACTTCTCTGCTGGGTGACATATCTCCCAGG